AAAAAAAAAAAAAAAAAAAAAAAAAAAAAAAAAAAGAAAAAGACAGCTCGAGCAGCTTGTGGTGGAGTCCTGGGTGGTACTGAAGGGTTTTGTGCTAAAATTCATTGTGTGCAATACTCTGTCGCTGTGGAGTCGACATGCAAGTTCTACAACTGTCCTTGTCCCCCAGGGTGTGCACAAGCCTTCCAGACTTCTGGGAGAATCCAGTGGCAGGAAATCACCAGCACAAGCCTCTGATGTTCCACTGCAGGAAAAGAAGGCACCAGCCAGCAAGAAGGGTGAGTGCCCATGAGCTTGCCCTCCCTTTGCTCACTTTGGTGTGGAGACATTTGTGACTAGAAGATGTGCATAGGAAGCTGCACCAAGGCAAGTGTGTGTGGTTCTTGGAGCTTCCTAATTCTCAGCCACTTTTTGTTGATTCCTGAGTTGGATCCTCTCCATCAGTCTTGCAGAACCTGCCACATCTTCCCTTGCTCAGCCCAGTCCAGCTGCTGGTCCTTCCAGACGCTTCTGACCCTCTAACAGGCGACTGTCACTGACAACAGCCTGATACCCTTATTCCCTGGCTTCACCCCTCGCAGTGCAGACTTCCTGCTGATTGATCTTCAATGGCCCAGTCTCCTAGCTCTCCTGCTGACCTCCTGCTTTCCACTAAGGTCCCCAACAAAGCCTTGGTTTACCTGTTGTGCCCTGTGCCTGCTGCCATCTCGCTCAGCCCCCTGGTGACTCTCCATGGCAGCTCCCAGGCCCTCCTGAAATCCTGTCCTCATGGCCCCTGTCTCCTTTCATAGGTCCAGTGGGCTGGTTCTCCCCGGGGTTCTGCCTCTCGCTCCTGTGTTTGCTCCCCACTGCCTGGAAACAGCTCCCAGGGAAAACTATTGCCTCTTCCCCAGTCATTATCTGAAGCCATCCTGCACTTGAAAAGCAGTAATGTCCAGAGATGAGGACTGAATGTATTCACTGACAGCACCCACTTCCTGTGTAATACACTGCGGGTGGAACCAACCAGTCACTTGTGATCTCATAAGAAAAAGAGAGCATGTTTCCAGCTAAATCAGACTTACAAACAGCATAGGGGTAGTGATATTTTCAGCATCTTATGTACTGTCTTTTGACATCTCTTCTTTCAGACACATATCCCTCAGTACCAGAGAGCTCTAAGGCCAGGCTTCCTGGCCAGGGCCAAGCCAGGCGGCCCCCTCGCTTCTCTGCAGACCGCAGGGTAGAGCAGGTAGGTGGGATTGAGTTGCTCTGTGGAGGCAGCTCAACATCCCTGGAGATGGCAGCGCCATCCTGTCTTCCTGATGGGTGCAGAAGATGAAGATGAATCCAAAGTCCTCCTTATTCTCAGAGCTCATTCAGACTTTCACATAGAAACATTTTTTTTTCTTGTAGATTTAAGTTGGTTTCCCTTAGCACGTAGCCAAAACCAGCTTGGTGGTTTTCCTGATTTAAGAGTTTCCCAAATCAAAATTTTGTTATATTTATTTTTAATCCTCAATGAGAAATGAGTGGAATCAAAAGCAAATATAACAGAAATACACCTAAGCCATTGTACTGGTCCACTTACTACATATTATATTTAATGAAAAATGCCAATGAAGTGGGAAGAGTTTTCTCCATGGGAGGGAATTTGGACAGTATACTTACGATGTACAAGTATCTGGCTGCGAGGAAATATCAGAGCAGGGTCCCACTAATTCTCTGCTCCCTATAAAAGTCTGCATCATCCATCCATCATGTTCTTTGCAATGTCATTTTTATTGTTTGGTACTTGGGTCCTTGCACTTGCAAGGCAGGCGGCAGCATCACTGAGCTAAATCCCTGGCCTCCAATGTCATCTTTGAGGGGATGGTGGTGACCTTTGTCTCTGGGCTTTAATTTTTTGAGCTCTAGCTGCTAATGGGTTCACTTCAAGGCCTTGGTGATCTGCATTTCAGAACCAGGTGCTGGGTAGAGTAGTGGTTGCCATGGTCAATCTGGCTACGATGGAGAGAACAGTGGGAGAAACACCTTCCCAAAACATAGAATGGGCTGGGGCATTTCTCAGGGGGTATTGCCAGTGTCTAGCATGCTCAGAGTCCCAGGTTGCCTCCCCAGCCCAGAAAAAACAAACACAGAATGTCCAAAACTGATTGTCCCAGCAAAGTTTAGAAAGGCCACAGGGGCCATGATTACACTCTTTCTGCAGAATCCTCCTACAAAGCCAGGACCCTCCCAAGGAGTAGCATGCCCTCTGGTAACCACCACAGAGAAGAGGGACGTACAGGAAAGACCACACACAGACAGCAAGGTAGGAGTCTACAGAATTCCTTCTTCCCCAGCTCTGGTTTCTGAGCTCCCCACTCTTTGCTCAGACTGTCTGGGGACTCCTGCTCAGAGGCCAGCAAGCATTTGCCAGAGCTCGATAAAATGAAACAGGAAAATTGGGAGAGGAAAATTTGTCTCTGTCTCCTCAAGTGTCTCCCAATTCCTGCATCCTCGGAGGATGCTTCCACCCTGAAGGATGTATTCTGGTGCTGGTGTTCTTGATTCAGATGGCCTGGAAGAGATCAGTGAGCAGCTGTGGTGTATGAGGCAGTTTATGGGTCCCCTTGCAGGAATGATGGCCCAGCGCCTTCCTTAACTTAGGATCCATGCACTGTGAGCCTTTTCCAATGGCTGGAGAGAAATGAGAGGACATCTTTGTTCTGCCTTTGTTGTGGACGCTGCCCTAAATAAAGGAGGATTTCTGCCCTTGCAAGAAGATAAGACATTCAGATAAGGGAGAGTTTACCGAGATGTTCTTTTGTGCAGTTTTCCACTGTGCTGTCAGAGGAGTGGACCCCATTCCATGTACCATGTCTTTCTGGCTCAGCAGTAGGTGATGCTGCTGATTCTTCAGTAGTACAAGATGAATCAATCACTCAGGCTTAGGAAACGCAAAGGTGTGGATTCACGGAGCAGGAGTCCCATTCTAGTTTATTCCAACATGAGCCTCCTCTTCCTCCTCCCGCAGTGGAGGACATCTGCTGCCTGCCCATGTTCCTAGGTGCCCTTCTTTCTCAGGTCCCTGGTACTTTACCCCCTCTTCTGGCCAGTCATCTTGTTTCCTCTGTTTCTGTGTGTCTTCCTTTAGATGTGCTGAAATTCTTTGCTTGTTTGCCTCTTTTTACAATATAAAATGATGCAAAAACCTCCATAGTCAGGCATCACAGAAAGGAACACATTCTAAAACTGCCTTTAGGTGATTTCATAACCATGTAGATCAGGGAGTACACCATCCTTGATGTGGCCTCAAAAGGGATAAACACCACATGCTGCTGGAGTAACACAGACTATTTTTTACCACTTTTTTTAAAAGCAGGAGCACACTCTAAAAGAATGAGTAAAAGTCTACTACAGAAATATATGAATTGGTGACATGGTCATTGTGATCATTATAAAGTATCATGTTGTATGTGTGTTGTGTGGGCTGTACTTCAGGGTGACTGGCAGTGTAGCAGGTGTGTTTACACCAATATTTCTGCAATACCACAGGCACCCATTCCACTGGATTATAATGGCTACAGTGTCACTGGGTGATGGGAATTTCTTGCCTCTGTTATAATGTTCTGTGACCCCTGTTGTATATGCAACTTGTTGTTGACCAAAACATTTATATAATCGACTTACACAACTCTAAAGATTTTAGGAATTTTTCTGTTTTCCATTTCTGAGTTGTAATTGTTCTTTAAGCCTTGTTGGAATTTTTATTGTTGGTTAAGATTCATCTTCTAACATTGAACTGGGTACAGCCTTCTCTATCCACCTGATTTACTTATTTATTTTATTGAGCTTATTGGTACATTTTTGGTATACAGTACAGTTACATTCATTATTGGAATCTTGTACCTTTACATGACAGGTCTTGGTTCTCATTTTTTCCCCTTGTCCCTGCCCTCCCTTCACCCGCTTCACCTGATTGATTTAAAAGCAGGAAAATGAACAATTTTGTGATCAAACCTGAAAAATTGATGGTGTGGGATTGACCAGTAGGGGGCACACATCATCAAATTTTGTAGGATTGCTGAAGCTGGTTCATACACAAAGCATTAGCGTTTATCTCAGTTGAATTAACTCCTAGGTTTCCTAGCTGTATCAAGAAATAAAAAAATATGCTTTTATAATTTTCATATGCACACATATTAACTCCCCAAATAGTGAGGTTATTTCTTCAGTTTTTCCTTATGCTAGTATTTTCATGACTAATGTTTTTAATTTGAAGACTAAGATATTCTTTTCTAAATTTCTAACCTAGCAGGATGCATTTGAAGCTCCATAGTTACTGACTGTTAATTGATATCAGTGAATCTTTGGGACAAGATAGAACACTGTATGAGTCGAAAGGATAGGACAGGAAGGGGGGAAACCTATCAAAGGTAGCTTTTACATAGTAATTGTGCCATTTGTACAGCCCAGAGTTCCAAATTCACCAAATCAAATAATCAGGAATTATCCAGACTGATAGCAAATGTGTCATGTGACCTTACAAAAATAAATTTATGGAATAAATTCATTTATAACTCATAAAAAATTGAGGGCTGGTGTTTTGGAACTGAAGGATTTGGTGATTGGGGTGGGGGTGGAAATGCAGCAATTGGTATCAATGGTGCCATGCAGGCAGCGAGCTAGAATGATTCTGAATGGAAGGAAAGTAGTGAAACCACATGTGGTTTATGTAATTACATATTTACATAATTACATAATTTTCATCTTGGAACTTTTGTGTCTCCATGAAGGTGGAGTTGACACTCAGTGATGGTCGCATGATTGTCACCTTCCCCAATGGCACCAGGAAGGAGACCAGCACCGACAAGAAGACAACCATCATCAAGTTTTATAATGGGGACGTGAAGAAGATCAAGCCTGATCAGCGAGTGGTGTGTGCACTGAGCCTATTTGCTCTTTAAAAAATCATGATGAGATTATTAGGGAACACTCTGCATATGGTACTCTTTTGTTATGTGAATGTTCTTGGATGAGGGAAAGGAAAAGGGCAGAACACAGGCTCTGGAATCAGATGCTCTTTAGCAGTGTGGTGATCCTCTCTCCATGGTGCACTTGGGCAAGTGAGATCCTTCATAATCTCTCAAACTTCAGATTTCCATGTCAGTGGGACTAACTACTACCCTTGCCTCCATTGAATTCTCACTTAGGAGTTGTTTTAATCTCTATAAAATGTGGTTCACAATTAGGACCAAACTTAAAAGATGGTTACAAAGATGAAATGACCCAATGCCTCTACCCCTGTAGAAACCTGAGGCTGAGCACTCCATAAATGAGTGTGCATCATAGAACCCACATTATCACAGTATTGCAATAAAGTGAGGCAAGACCAGGACCCAGCACTTGTACAAACCGGAGGACAGGTGGGCCTGATGGCTGTCACACTCCCTGGCTCTCCCACTGTTTACACAGTTGGGGAGGCACAAGCTCCCTGCATCTGCCATCTAGGTGGAGCAGAAAGCTTGGCTTTGAGAACCACAGGGTTGAGGCTTTGTCACAGCACTGTCAGGCCAGCTGTGCAAAATTAACAACTCTCAGTCTCTCTATCTAATAAAACCGGGACATATCTGCTATAGGGCTGGTTCTTGACTAGGAGCGACTGTTTCCCCTACTTGGGACATGTGCAATGTCTGAGGATATTTTTGGTTTTTATTACTAAGAGTGTTGGGAGTGCAGCTGGCATTTAGCAGATTGGGGCTGGGGATGCTGCTAAATATCCCAGTATACAGGAGAAACCTGCCTCCCCACAACAGAGAGTTCTCTAGTCTTGTTATCAGTGGAGCCAAGGTTGGAAGACCATTGCTGGTCATTATAAATTCATGTCACATGGGTGCTCAGTTACTGACAGTTGTCACCCCATGGTTCACAGTGGCAAGGCAGGTGACGTACACATGGAAGAGAACATATTGTGGTTGCTTGATACTAGGGAGCCAAGACCGTGTCTGTGACCCAATGGGACAGACTGTATGTTTTGTGGCAGAGGAACTTATGTGGGGAAAATAGTTTGCACAAACTTTGGAGGTTTCACAAGCAAGATCTACAGGATAGCATTTCTCCAGGTAATTTGGGTTGTGACAATTTACATGAATCTGGGTAGTGGGCAAACAGTCATAGTAAATCGGGCCTGGACATGAGGGTACAATTTATTGTGGACTGAGAACAATCTCTTAGTACTGAGACAGCACCAGATTGCATTCTTCTGTGTTTCTCCCTCAGATGGCCCACTTCACCGTTCTCACTCACACCAGGATACACACTCGGAGCTGAGTCACTGCAGAACTCCTCTGATTTCGTCTGTTTTACTCTTCCCCCCCCACCCCCGTACTAGGAACCGAACCCAGGACCTTTGCCCTGAGCTACATCTCAAGGCTTTATTTTCTATTTTTCATTTTGAGCTGGAGTCTCTCTAAGTGGCTCAGTTGCCTGCACTGGGGCCAAACTTGCCATCTTCTTACCTCAGGCCTGCAGAGTGCTGGAATTATGGGCACATGCACTGCCCCCAGCTCTGCTTCACTTGTTTTAATGAGAAGCGTCTGTATGCATGCTGCTGGGTAATTTCACCCCCACTGAAGTCTTCTGACCTTCCCATCGTGGTGTCAGTATCCTGGGGTATAGACAAGGGCACACCTAGCTGCCTAGGTGTTCTTCTGTTGGCCCAGTTACCCACAAAGCCCCTGATTTTGCTGGGAAGTGTGAACAAGGCAGGAGCATAGACAACCCTTGAAAAGGTGGCTTCTGTGATGCTACAGCCCAGTGGAGCCACAGGTGACATTGCTCTCACTGCCTACCTCCTCCTGTGGACTTGAGTCCAAGTTTTCCTCACCTCAGAGTACCAGGGAGTCGTTTCCTAGCTAGGCTTAGGGACGCAAGGGTGACAAATGCAAGTTCAGAGAGTGAAAAATCTCAGAATCCGCACACTGAGGTCAAGATGGCCTCAAGATCCTGAGCAGGGAGGAGGAGGAAACATCCTTGCTCAGACCTTTGTTCTGCTGTTGTGAAATGTCCCTGGAGGGGGTGACCAAGTGCTTTGCCTTAGTCAAGCCCAGGGGTCTGCAGAGGGAGACGGGGCTGGCATGGTGGAGGAGGGCTCCTGCTCCATCTGATTTCAGACAAGTGGCAAATGTGAGGCGAGGTTGCCTGTGAGACCATGGAGCAGAGATAGGCCACTTTCCACGTGACTACTTGCTGGGACCCCACCTGTGCTCATTCACCCTTTCTCTCAGGGGCCGGAGGTGCGGGCACCATTGCAGGAAACTTACACGAAGTGACCAGCGGCTCTCAGTGAGGATGGAAGTGAATACCTTCCTTCCATGGAATCATTTTGGAAATGGACATGTACATTCAGTCATTTTTTGTTTTGGGAGCCTTCCATGGTTTAAAAATTTCCCCCTCCCCGCTGTGTGGGTGAGATGGACTCAGACGCAGCATGGAGAGCATTCCCCGCACCTTTCTTCTCTGTACCTGCTCTTCTAGCTCCTCCTCTCCTTTTCTGGGAACTGAAGACAGCACGGCATTGGAAATGTTACTATCAGGTGGTGGCTGTCATGGTGTGGTTTGCTTGGACATCTGACACAATGGGTGCCCAGTTTTCTCCTGGAGCTGCCAGCAGGCTCTGGACCTGAGAGCTAGGAGTTTCATAGTGGTGGTTCTCGTGGGTCATGCCCATCAGCCAGGATATAGCCAGCTGCAGGCCTCCAAGGCATTGAAGCCCAAGGGTGCAAGACTGAGAGCTACACTGTTCTGTAATCTGCCTCACTCATAGTCCGGGGCCATCATTTCTGGGGTGTTGGTGGCCAGTTCCTCTTCTTGTGCCCCATGGCCATGGTGAGGCCCAGCAGCCAAGTAGTCCCCTCAGCTACCTGCAGGAAATGCTTTACCAGATTAAGTCCAAGTCCACCAATAAGGCGAACTGCCGCCCAACACAGGTCTTTCTGGCACTTACAGATTTATTACTTCTCGGATGCTCAGACAACATACACGACCTACCCCGATGGCGTGGAAACCGTGCAGTTTCCTAATAAGCAGATTGGTGAGTGGAGTCACCCTGAGCTCGCACAGTTACGCATCTTCTGTGTGCATACGCTGTACGAGGTGATGTGGAAACGTTAGGTTGAGCAAATACAGAGTCTTTTAGACAAGTTCTCCAGGGTAACAATTGTCCCGATACTGTAATCAGACCTTAAACTGCTTAATGAAGGCCCAGTGTGCCTTTTCCCCTGAATCTTATCTGTAGCTATGGACAGCTCCTCAGTGCAGGTCCATGAACTCTCCAGGTCCTGCTGGCCTCCCTCAGCAGGGAAGGTTGTGCTGTGGCTTGGCTAGGCCTATGTGGGCAAATATCAGAATAGGAGCATTAGACAAATGGCCCCTCACTCACTTTCACGGGTGTCTCCTTCCAAACACCCCTTTGGCTGAATGAGAAATACTTTCTAACCTGGTAGATAATGTGGGCAAGCATGCCAGCTTCCCCCTATTAAGAATTTCCCCATACTGTCTCTCTGGAATGCCAGCTGAGAGCCACTGCTTTGTGAGTAGAATGGATGTCGCTGGGCATTCCTGGCTGGCACCTGTTAACTGGGTAAGGTGGATCTCCTGGGCTCTGTAGGCTGTATGAAGGTGTGGGAGTCACACAGTGTGTGTTTCCTAAGAGTGCCTTCTCATATTATAAAATTCTGTTGGTTTACCAACGCAGTTTTCTTTTGTGATCTACTCAGTTTTAGTTTAGCATGAAAATCCTATTGCCAAGAAGCTCTGAATGTATTAAAAATATATTTGCACTGTGTGCATAGTAGACACAGAGAGCGTGTGATGGTGAAGGTGCCCTCCACAGGAGCAGCTCCTGGGGCAGGGCTGCAAGCAGCCACCAGGTGACAATGTCCTCACAGTGCCAGACTTCTGTGTCTGGCACAACTGATGATTTGCTTGTTTAATTTAACAAGGCTCATTGCTTTGTTTGAATAGCTTTAAACCATAAAAGTGTCTTATATTTGGTTATGTAAAGAGTTTGCAAATGAAGCTAAATTCATTCCTTATTCTAGTTTTTCACAATTAGATGATTGATAATTGCTTTTTCTCTGGGAAACATGGCTAATCCACCCAGGTGGGTCAGTAACACCAGACTGGTGTTGTATTGAACACCCAGAGTGGTAGAGGCACCTTTGGAGTGTCTTTCAGGGACTAAGATGTTAGGTCATAATGTAATTAGGTAATCTAGAAAATCATAAAATATTTATGCTATAATTTGTATGACAGTGAAAATGAATCTTCATGTGATCTTTCCCCCCTGTATTTCAGTTTTGTTCATTTATTTTTTCAGATTGATACTGAAAGTGTACATAGTATTCTGGAAATGTGGCTGCATGATTCCTATCTCTATTACATTTTATTATTTTAAATGTCCTGGTTCTGTATATGTGCTCCAATTTCTGTGCATTCTATTAGGACAAACTCTGCTGTTCCACTCTTTTAATTTTATTTGCTCTAATTTCTTTTTCTTTTTTGTGCTGGGGATTGAACTCAGGACCTTGTGCTTAGGAAGCAGGTGTGGTGCCACTGAGCTAAATCCCCAGCCATTTGCTCTAATTTTTATTAGGCTCTAAGTTTTTTAACTTTTTCTCTGTTTATTTTAATGTAATTTCAAACTTACAGAACAGTTCCAGGAAAGCACACAGAACTGCTACCTGCTCTGTACCCAGAATCATTAGTTTCTAATCTTTTGCCACACTTTCCTGAGCATTCTTTCTCACTCTCCTATGTATGGATATGCATTGGTCCGCTTTCTCATTCCTGGGAGAAAATACTTGATACCTCCAAAGTAAAGGAAGAGATGTTTACATTGCTCACAGTTTCAGAGGTTCCAGTCCATGGTCGGCTGGTTCCAGTGCTGTGGTCCTGAGGTAAGACAGAACAACATGGAGCAAGAGAGGGACAAAGTTGCTCAACTCATGGGAGCCAGGAAGTGGAGCATGGGAGAAGAGCACCAGCCAGAGACATAATCTCCAAAGCGCATAACACCCCCAGCACTGCATCTCCAACAAGGCCTCACCTTCTAACACACTCAGCTGTGAAATCGGTGGATTCATACACTGAAGAGTGCAGTGTCCCCATGACCTCCCTGTGAGTGTTTTGACAAGATGAGCTGGTGTACCCACCCATCTTTCACTTTATTGTGCTGTTTCTGCCAGAATTTTAATTCTAAATTGATTTTTACTCTTAACATGAATTAAGATTACTACTGTGTTGCTTTAAGTAGTTTTAAACGTTTGCACAGATTTTTGGGGTCACTATTCTTGTCACTCAGGCTGTTCTTGTTGACTGTACCAGAAGGCGTATCTCTGTTCTATTCCTTGTTAGTTGTGCCCAATGTCCATAGAGGGCCAGGGGGGCCTTCCTAAGAGGGGACCTTTAGGGGGAGGTAGGAATTAAGGGAGGGAGCTGTGGGGGTACTGGGGCAAGACACTGTGGAGAAAGCAGGTTGTGTGGAGAAGCAGATACTGGTGTGTGCTAGAGAAGCAAGGTGGGCGTTGCGGCAGGAGGGGAACATAGATGAAGTCAAGTGTAGGCAGTGGAATGTGTGGGCCACAGCGAGGACTTTGACTTTCAGTTCTCTTCCAGAGAAGTTCCCTGGAGGACTGGGAGCCAAGGGATGATAGGAATTTTCCTCAGCATATCAAAGACTGTTCCATGACCTTATGGCAGAGACGCTGGAAACCTGGCAGGAGCCTAATTGCTCCCTTTGATGATGATTTTCATGTTTTCTTGCTGCTTTGAAGAAATATTGTCTCCAGTTACCCACGGATGTGCCTAGCTGTGGATTTAATTTTGTTTGTTGTATTAGGGGTTTGTTGTGCATCTTAACTCTGACGACTTGTATCTCACATGAGTTAGGGTTGCCAGATTTAGCAAATAAAAATGCAGGATGCTCAGTTAAATTTCAATTTTAGATAACCGACAAATTTATACTAAAAATTTACTTGTAGTTTCTCTGAAATTCAAACTTAACTGCATGCCCTGGATTTTATCTGGCAAACATATCTTTAATTCAAGAAAAATTTCAGCTATTATTTTTAGTAATATCATTTTTTCCTTCTTTTCTCTTCCCAAACCACCAGTTGAAGGTATATTATACCACGTCATCTAATCTCCTTGCTGCTAAACACATTTTCTTTTCTTTGTTACTTTCTGGGTTAGTTCTTTAAAATTGTCTTCTAGTTTATTAGTTTTCTCTCCAGAAGGATATTAAACGCTATTTTTAATACAACCTTTAGGCTTAATTTTAACCACTGTATTCTTCCCTGGAGAATGTAGTCTTTATCAGATCTCCCTAGTCTTTTGGGTCATGCTATCTTCTCTTGTTTCCATCTCACTCCTTTACTCCTTAAGTTATTGTGTACATGTTCTCTTTGTCTGCTCCTGGTGACACTGTGTACAGTCTGGAGCTCTGGGTAAGCACTGTTAGCTCTGCCCATACATCTTTATGGTGCTGTCTCCTTGCATTTCTCATAGTGTCTTGTTGGGTTGTGTTTGGCAGCAATTCTGGGGGTACCCAGTCTGACTGTCTATCCAGGAAGCTCTGTGCTAGCTCTTGTAGGTAGCCTGAGCATTGTAGTTTGGGGCCACACCATGTTTTTTCCAGACCTATGGGCAGTGGGATTGCAGTGCTGAGTGGTGTTAGTAGTGGAACACTTCACAGTCAGCCTGAAATCATAGGTTCTTTGGCGAGAGCTCAAAAGCAGACTTGCTCCCTGATAGGCTCCACTGGACAACATTAGGTATTTTCTAGTTCATCCCTGCAGAGTGACACATCCCTTGAGAGTGTCATCATGAAGTGGGGACACAATTCTGGTTTTCAGGATGCAAACGTTATATCCTGCCCCAGAAGACCTTTTATAGGCTGTTCCTCCAGACTGCTGAGATTAGCAGGTGACTGCAAGTAAACAGCAGCACTGGGGTCTACTCTGCCTTCCAGAAACCACTGTAGATTGTGGCTCTTTTCACACTCTTGAATACTGATTTGAAAGGATTTTTATATCTTTTTCTTTGACACTACTAGATATTTTCTAGTGGTAGCTTCTATAAAATACTTTTGACATATTGCCAAGACAGAATCAAGTCCTGTTATCCACGCTATCATCTCAGACATGGTGGAAAATGGTCAGGGCTGATATTGCTGCTGAGCCCCAGGCTATCCTGCTCTATCTTATCTTCTGACCCTCTTGTCTTTGTCCTAGTTTTCCAGCCAATGCTATTGTGTGTCATGTTAGGATGTTCACTGTCATAATCTTGTCACTGAGGGTGAGACTAGGCAAGTGAGCACAGAGGGGGACACAAGAGTAATTGTTTTCTTCAGTGACCCTCTGAAAATAATTCAGAGTGAAAATTACACTTGCTGGTTCACAAATGTCCTGCTAGGCGATTGATATTTATTCAGGTCTGGTGTAAAAGAAAAATATTTTATAGACATGTGTTTTCTTTAAATCTCAGCTGGTCCATGCAGAGTGTCTCTAATGTGCCACTTAATTTTATAGCAGGAAAATCAAGTGCTGTTATTGCTCTTGGATAAGTTCACCATATCATCAGCATTTCTACATTTCTACCTATGACTGATATTTCAAGGACAAAATCAAAGAAAGTCCCATTGTTTCTCCCTATTGCTACTTTATAGGTTTTTATTTTTCTTATGTGAATCTTCACGTACATTCACACAAATCAGTAAAGACATATTGCGTTTTGATTAGGTGCCAGGCAGTCAGTGAGTCTCAAAATATTGACCAATGAAGAGCCTGCAATTTCTCCACAGTGTTTCACTAATAACACCATTTAGAAACTATCTTTTGTAGTTTATGCTAACAGATATTTTAAGGGGCAGAATTTTCCCTTAGTTTTCAAATTCTTCACATTTATTTCTCTGCCATTGTCTGCCAACAACTACTAACAGTTGACAAAATAAGTCAATATGAAGAAATAAAAGTACGTGTTTTCAACAGTGAGGATATAGCATTCAGAGGCAAAAAGTCACTAGCTACAGGACTATGATGGACCTTGGACCTCAAGTGTAGGATTAAGGGTGTCAGAGAGAAAATAGAAGCAATAGAACTTTCTTAGACAGGGAGCTCATTTGTGCAAAGTTGGGAGAATATCAACTTTCTTGTCAGTGTGTCTGGAGCAAAATGTTCAAGTATAAATAAAAATTGATAGAATGGGACATAAAATAGGCCTGGAATATTAGTCCTTTATGGGATGAGTCCATTCAGTCTACTATTACCATGAACTAGATGGCTGATAATCAAGGGGAACTCATTCCTCAGAGATCAGGGGACTGGAAGTCCATGACCAAGGTTCTGGTAGGCTTGGTGTCTAGTGAGGACACATTGATGGTGCCTTCCCCCATGGCAGAACACAGCTTTGTTGAACAAGACCACTAATCCTTTTGTGAAGGTGCCTCCTTCAAGATCCAATTACCTCTCAAAGGCACCATCTCTTAACACAATTGCTTTTGGGTGGGATCCAACACATAAACTTTGGTGAGATATAAACATTCAGGCCATAGTAGAGAGAATCACCATAAAATATATTTGTCCATTTAGGCAGATAAATTTATAGAAGTGCAAAGATATCTGTGCATGTTGTTTAAGTCCTGGATAGAAGAGTGAAATGCAGCAAGTATATTTTTATTGTTTATGCAGTTGTTTTTTTCTGATGACTTTAATATAATGTTGAAGTCCTTGAAGTTTTGCTATAAGGGTTTCCAAATTCAGCAAATAATGACTCAGACTTTCATTTACATTTGAATATCAGGTAAACAACAAATAATTAGCAGTATAAATATGTTCCATTAAATATTTGGGACAGATAAATATTTCCTGACATTTGATGGCATTCCATCCAGGAAAATCCATTGTCAGTTTAAAATACTATAAGCTGAAAATGCATGTAAGACACCAAGCATAGCTCTATCACAGCAAACTCTACAGTATAGGATGTCCTCCCTGGTGATGGCCTGGGACCTGGACGCTCATGGCCATTGGGAGAGGGCAGTGCTGCATTTCACTAGCCTGGGAAAAGGCTGAAATGCAAAATTTGCTTAGTTTCTGTCTTAGCTAGTTTTCTTGTTTCTGAGACAAAATGACAGATACCCAGAGTTAAAGGAGAAAAGCTTTATTGTAGCTTACAATGTGTAGAGGTTCCGGGTAATAGTTGACAAGCTCCAAGGCAGGGTGGCATGGCAGAAGGACTTCACAGAGGAGAAAGAGTTCATGGAAGGCAGGTAGGAGAGAGCAAAACAGCAAACAGCAGCAGCATGCAGCAAGGCAGAAGCCTGTCCCTTTTATCCTGTCCAGGCTACCCACATTTTGGGTGGTGCCACCCACACCCTGGGTGGGCCTTCCTATTATCCATACCCAGAACTGTGCTTAACCTATCAGTGGAATGATTAAGTAATCGTGCACTTTTTTTTTCTTTTTATTGAGTTTATTGGTACATTTTAGGTATACAGTACAGTTACATTCATCTTTGGGATCTTGTACCTTTACATGACAGGTCTTGGTTCTCATTTTTTCCCCTTGTCCCTGCCCTCCCTGCACGCCCTCCTCCACTCCCCATTTACAAACACTTTATTTCCATTTTTTCATTTTCTCATATTTTTTTCTTTTCCCTTATTCTCTTTCCCCTACATCTTTAGCTCTTTTCTTCCTATTTCACATTGTTAATTATCTCATTAGGATCTTCTGTACTATAATAGTTTTTCACACCATGCACTTGTAATCCCAGCATCTCACAATTTAAACTCAATGTCACATAGCCTAGAACCAGTAACTTCTGAAAACCCTCACCTATGGCCACATGAGGCTCTGGGAGATATCTAGATATAAGTCATATCGGTTTCTACTGAATGTATATCACTTTTCTGTAATCATAAAGTTGAAAAATCATAATTAAAGTCATTGTAGGTTGGAAACTGTCTGTACTTATGCTAAAATATTATTACTTCATCCAAAAGTCAAGTTGACCTGGGAATTTCATATCATATCTAGCAAACATAGTTATAGATTCATATGATTGAGAATTATTCTCTTTCTATAAATCTCAGATAGATCACTGAGATATAATGTGGTTTTTAAACACTCAGTATATAATGCATTTTTAGTTTTTATTGAGTTTATTAGTACTTTTTAAGTATACAGTACAGTTACATTCATCATTGGGATCTTGTACCTTTGCATGACAGATCTTGGTTCTCATTTTTCCCTATACCCCTGCCCTCCCTTCACCCCCACAACCCACCCCTATTTACAAAAAGTTTGTTTGCATTTTTTCATATTCTCATATTTTTTCTTTCCCCTTATTTCCTTTTCCCTACTCTTCCCACTTCCCCTACACCTTTAGCTTTTTTTTTTTTTTTTCAATTTCACATTATCGGTTATACAATTTGGATCTTATTTACACTTTTACTTTTTCACAGCAGAGAAACTACTCAGTATTTACACATGGGTGCCCTATTTATTTCACTTAAGAGTATGGCCTCAATTTGCATCAATTTCCCTATGAATGACTCTAGCTTCTCATCCTTTCATTGTATTTTGGGGTGGGTACCAGGGATAGAACTGAGGAGTTTGTGCTTGCAAGGCAGGCAGCAGAACCACTGAGCTAAATCCCCGGACCCCTATCTTCTCATTCTTTATGGCAGAATAGTACTCCATTTTATAGAAAAACCACATCTTCTTTATCCAGTCTCCAACTATGGGCAATTGGGCTTTTTCCAAGTTTTAGCTATTACAAACTGTGCTGCTATAAACATGGGTGTGCGTATATCACTGTGGTATTATTCTTTTAATTCTTTTGGAAAGATACCCAGCAGAGGGATGGCTGGGTCAAATGGAATCTATAATCCTAGTTATTTGAGGCATTTCTGATTTCCACTGTGGTTGTACCACCGACAACGGAGAAGAATTCCTTTCTCCCCACAACTCTGCTGACATTTGTTATTGGTTGATTTCTTAATGGCAGCCATTCTTTCTGGGGTGAGGTGGAATCTCAGAGTTGTTTTCGTCTGCATCTCTCAAATGACCATTGATGTTGAAAATTTTTTCCTACATCTATTTGATGCTGTTACTTCTTTGTCTGAGAAATGTCTGTTCATTTCCGATGCCCATTTTTTAATGGGGTCTTTCTATTTAGGGGGGCTGATTTTTTTGAGTTCCTTATATACTGTAGATAATAGTCCTTTGTCTGAGGAGCAGCTGGTAAAAATTTTTTCCCACATTTTAGGTTGTCTCTTGCTCTGTTGGTAGTTTCTTTTGCAGTGCAGAAGCTTTGTAATAAGATGAGATCCCAGTTGTTGATTCTTTCTGCTAGTTCCTGTGCTACTGAGGATTTGCTCATAAAGTCTTTTCTTATGCCAATGTCTTCGAGACCTCTGCCTAACTTATCTTCCAGCAAGTTTAGAGTTTCTGTTTTAATATTTAGATCTTTAATCCACTTGGATTTTAGTTTAGTGCATGGTGAAAAATAAGGGTCTAGTTTTAATCTTTGTCAGGTTGAAATCCAGTTTTTCCAACACAATTTATTAAAGAGGCTATTTTTGGCTCCTTTGTCAAAGATGAGGTAGCTGAGTACATCTGGAGTTGTTTCTGAATCTTCCAACCTATTTCACTGATCCATGGGTCTGTTTCTTTGCCAGTACTATGCTGTTTTTTATCACACTGGTTTTGTAATACAGTTTCAAATTGGGGATTGTGATACCCCCCTGTCATGTCTCTGTTGCCTAGAATAGGTTTTGCTATTCTAGGTCTCTTCTGGTTCCAAATGAATTTTTGGATTATTTTCCCTAGTTCTGTGAAATATACTGTAGGAATTTCAATCTGGATTGCATTGAATCTCTATAGCAGTTTTGGTAGTATGGCAATTTTCACTATGTTAATTCTTCCTACTCAGGAACAAGGGACATCTTTCTATTTTCTTATATCCTCTTCAATCTCTTTTTTCAGAGTGCTGTAGTTTTCAGTGTAGAGGTCTTTTGCTTCCTTTACTAGATTGATTCCTAGATACTTCATTTTTGGGGCAATGCTATTGTGAAAGGGACTGTTTCCCTAATTTCTCTCTCAGTGAGTCTGTTTTTTGTGTACAAGAAAGCTATTGATTTTTGAGTGTTGATCTTATATCCAGCTACTCTGCTGAAAGTGTCAATTAAGTTTAGAAGTCTTTTGGCAGAGTTTTTTGGGTCTTCTAGATAGAGTATCATATTGTCAGGAAATAATGACAGTTTAACTTCTTCCTTTCCTATCTTTATTGCTTTAATTTCTTTCTCATATCTAATTGCTGTGGCTAATATTTCCAGAACTATATTGAACAGGAGTGGTGATAGTGGACATCCTTGTCTTCTTCCTGATTTTAGTGTGAAGGTTTTCTGTTTGGGGCCATTTAATAGGATGTTAGCTGTTGAATTTTCATAGATAGCCTCTATTGAGTTGAGATGAAGACCCTCTATTCCAATTTTCTGCAGGATTTTTATCATGAATGGATGCTGAATTTTGTTGAATGCTTTTTCTGCATCTATAGAGATGATCATATCATTTTTGTCCTTGACTCTGTTGATACAGTGCATTACATTTATTGATTTATATATGTTGAACCATCCTTGCATCCCTGGGATAAATCCATCAGGGTGTATGATCTTCTTGATGGCCTTCTATATTCTGTTTGTGAGTATCTATATAAGATGCATTTTTAAAAAATGTATTCTGCAGAAAAATTCTACCCTGATGGCTCCAAAGAAACTGCGTTTCCAGATGGGACAGTGACCCGGCTCAAGGCTGGGTGTGAGGAGACTGTGTTTCCTGATGGGACAATCACACATGTGAAAAGGTTGGTATTGTATCACACAATATGAGTCCACATCACCTCCAACTTTTGATTTATGTATTTGATAATTTTTTCATATTGATTAGATTTTTGTGTTTAAGTATTTATTTAAATATAATAGCAGAAAAATAATACCATTGACCCAATTTTTGTTTTTGACTAATTTGAGTCCCTTAATGAAGACTGTAGGTTTAAACATTAATTCAGGGACACTCATGTGTCACATAATGTTTTAGTTGTCGACAGGGCATACACAACATCACATTGTCTAATATCAATGTAGTCATCTTAGCTGGTGTTGAAATCACCTAGCAATGCATTTCTTGGAACATGTCCCTGTTTTAAGAGATACACAGCTGTTTAACTCAGTGAGGTTGGCTGGGTTTGAATTATACCATAAGGATGAGCCCAGTCTGTTGTAGAATCAGGAATCCAAAGTTATTGCAGAACCCACACAAACAAATATATAAAATACATGGAAAAGTGCTGGTGAGATTTGGTCTCCATTCTGGCGTGAGGAAAGGAAGACCAGAGGTCAGCACTGTCCATCTAGCTGCCCAAGTGGGTTGGGAAGTTGCCTTAGGTCCTCCCTTTCTTTACCCCAGATCACCCAGTCCCAATATCCCTGTGGTGTCTCCTTGCTGGCCTCAGTCTCTTCCGTGCCTTCTATTTTATAGCCCGAAGGTTTAGTCTCTCTCCTGGTCTAGAGCCACATTAACTCCCACAAGGGGAGCCAGAAAATGCCCACTCATGTGGGGGCACTTTCTTTACCTTTTCATGGCGCTCTGTGCAAACCACATCTCTGCTTACCTCCACCACAAGCTATCACCATAGGTTGGGTGAACAGACTTGGCTGCCCATGCAGCTTGTCTCCTTCGTGCCCCACTTACATGTCCTCAGCCATTCTGGGCTCCCATCAGTCCCTGAGCCTTCAGCACCATTTCTTTCCTTGTTCTGCACAGCTGTGTCCTCCTTTCCAGGCACTGGTGTCACTCATCCCTACCTGCTCCATGTTCACAGAACCAGCTATGGCACAGCCCGTCTTACCAGAGTATTTCTCCTCTACCAGGAATGGCGACAAAACCATTGTGTTCAGCAACGGGCAGAAAGAAATCCACACAGCCCAGTTCAAGAGGAGGGAATTTCCCGATGGTACCAGCAAGACTGTGTATTGCAATGGATGCCAGGAGACCAAGTACAGTTCGGGGAGGGTCAAGGTCAAAGACCAGACTGGAAAGGTCATCCTGGACCAGAAGCAGAAGTAGAACACCCCTTATACTCACCACAGTGTGTGAAACACCAGTGACAGTTTTTGCAAAGACAGAGACAAAACACATTAGCTGTCCCAAGTAATCTTAGCCCCAAACTTCAGGAGTACTTGGTCACTAGAAACTGTAAAGAAGGAGAGCTCTAGTCTCTCACTTAAGGAAAGTGGTCAGAATAGCACTAGGTAGATGAAAAGCTCACAAAAGCATGATTTCCAGTGCCTTAACCCGACTTTGTCCTTTTTGCTAATTTTACCACATGGGGGCCCTGGCACAGGATAAAGCCAATGTCAGCTGCCAGCTTCTAGGGAGCATTTGTATATTAGGCTGAACCTCTGTGGGTCTGGTCTGCCAGCTCCGGCCTTCCTCATACCTCCAGCACCATCCAAACTCAACCTGACCCATTCTCCTCCATGGTTCTCCTCTACCCATGCCCATGTCATTTCTTGGCCCAACAGTCATGACCAGACCAAGGGGTGGCTAACTTAGATTTAGAAGAATATAAGTATTGTGGTCTATGGCTGCCTCGAAAGACAAGCACTTCCTAAAATTCTTGACATTTTAATTCTGGTATAAACATGATGACCAGTTACTTCTTTTGTGTTGAAGGCTATATGGAAATTACAAAAGCACACTGACATTCAACAAATTTTTATGCTAAAGTGTAGAATCCAAAAAAGATAAAAAGAAAGTTTCATTAAAACCTTATAAAGATATATGCATATTTGATTTTTTATGTTTTCATGTGAAAGACATGAAATACTATATTTTAGCACCAGTGATTACTTTCACCCTAAAATATATTATGCACACATTATTGTAGTCTTTAGTATTTTGGTAATACTATTTAAATAACTCAAGACTAATGTGCTGTCTTGGCTTTGAGGGGAAAAGAAATGATTTCTGTAATTACCTTGAGTGGAAGCAAGTTCTTTCTGGATGAATGTCAAACTGAGGTAAGGATATTGTCAGATATAAATGGCCATGACTAAAAACCCACTCTAGGTTTGGCTAAAAATTGACTTGTTTATTATTATATAAAAATTATAGTTAAAGCAAATGAAATACATTCTACTGAATTCTAGCTTTTAATTGCCTGTGGGAGTCAGGGGAAGAAGCTAAAGTACAAGTCAGTTATGTTCCAGCATCAGACGTCTCGTCTGGCATTGTGTGTAATATGCAGTGGCTGCCCCAATACTGAGGTGTGTGAGATCTGCAGTGACATAAGATGAGCTCAATATAAGCATTACACTGTAGGCCCTGTGTGGTATGCATTCTGGCATGTTGGAAATCAGTGGACTTTAGTTTTTGCACTCTCCTAAACATGTTGCTTGTACAAGTCTGGTCAGTTTTACCTCGGTGTTATAATTTGGATCTTAAATGTCCTCCAAAGGCCTATATGGTAAAAACTTGGGGATGGTGCTAATGGGAATTGGTGGAGCCTGGAAGGTGGCAGCTGTGAAAGGTCCTCAGGTCATGGAAGTACGTCCTTGAAAGGGACTATGGGATGCCAAGCTCTCTCTTCCTCCTTGCATCCTGAACATGAGGTGAGTGGTTGTACCATGGGTTATCAGCATGACATGCATTTCATCACCACCTCCACTGCACAGGACCGAGCAACCAGGGAGGGAGTGAAATCTCTCCAACTATGGGCCCAAACAAACTTTTCTCTTTATAAGCTGATTATCTCAGGTGCTTGTTTGCCTTTTAGAAAGCAGACTAACACATTCAGCACCTATAGAGGACTTCCTTTGGATACCCAAGCCCATAGATGCTCGCATTCTTCATATAAAATGTCACTGTATTTACATATTATCTAAGCACATCCTCCCATATGCTCTAAATCATCTCTGGATTACCTGTGATACCTAATACAATGTAGGTGCTGTGGAAATAGTTGTGATACCATATTGTTTAGGGAATGATGACAAGGAAAAGTCTTTATGCATTCGGTACAGATAAAACTTTAAAAAAATATTTTCAATGTGCAGTTGGTTGACTCCTGAGAGGCAGAACCCATAGACACAGAGGACTGATAGTATGGATAATATAAATTTTGAGGGGCAGAGATCCACATGCTTGGAAGCAGTACCTAAGTATATGTGGTTGATCAAAAAGGGAATGAACATTTAAGGAAATCATGAAACAACAGCATGTAAGGGGCTGGAGAGTGGATCAAGTTAGCCAGACTGTTGAGGAAGGGACAGTGAGTAAGGAGCTAACAGCCACCACTCTATCCTTCAGAGGCCCATGCAGCCATCACCCCTTCTGGGAAGTTAGCCTTGGTCAACCCTGGCATAAGTCTCCCCAAGTGCTTCCTGGCCCCGAACCCCTCTGGGTACTTCCCACATTGTGTCCCTGAGACCTCATCACTGGTCCAAGCCCCAGTAGCTCAGGGCACACTGAAGGTGATGTCAGCCTTCTCCACCTGTGACTTTGATATCCACCTTCAACTTCTTCGGGCTGATCAAACAGAGCCTGGCTTAGCATGCAGAAAGCCTTCTTGCCATAAATAAATACGAAATATTGTTAGCTCCAAAGTCAGAGGAGGTGGGAACTTGGGGACTGCACTCAAAAAGGAGTAATTTGTTTAATGCTCAATTTATTAAATGTCCTTTTGATGTGACTTTCCCATGAGCATTTAAAGATTGACTGTGATCAGATTAAATTTCATTAAAATGCAATTAAATATTTAGCATGGCTGATGCTTTTCAACAAGCACCTTACACAAAAGACAAAACCAAACAATTAAGATTACTGCTTAGCTTCCTACATAGCTACATCTACTCTATAGCATTATTCATTCATAATTAATTTTATCCCTCCCTAGAACCATCTCTATAATTGTTTTGGTATTATCCTGGTATTTATTTTTGTATTCATTTTTACTTCTTGGCCCGCATAAGAGAATAACACTGAAAAACTTAATTAGACTAGCTAAAATTATAGAAACTGTATTTCCCTGGCAATCCAGTGGCTAATTGAGAGCTGTGGCTCAATGCGCCAACCCAACAGCAGAGAGTACTGTGTGCCACACCAGGAGCCTAAGAACGGACCAAAGTTGCACTGTCACTAATGACACCACCATTTGTTGAATTTGGTTTGCTAGTTTATTATGCAGAGTTTTTAATCTGTGGTCATCAGGGATATTGACCTATTCTTTTCTTGTAGTGTCCTTGTCTGACTTTAGTATCAGGGCACTGTAAACCTGGCAAAATAAGTTTGAAAGTATCTACTCTTCCTCAATTTTGGGGGGTGAATTTGAAAATGGGTGCTCTGTTACCACATGGAGGTCTTGTTCAGGTTCTAGATGACTTAAAGAATTGAGTGGAACACCCAAGAGTACTAGAAGATAAGTGATTTATTTTAAAGGGAAAAGACAAAGTTGATGCCCAGAGTGGGAGTGGGCCAGTAAGAAGAGTTCACAGCACCAAGGGGGCTTGGTGTTGAAAGTTTTAAGCGTTAGGGTTTGGGGTGCAATTGAGGGTTTTGTCTGAGTTATGACTCTTGCCAATGAGCAGCTTGACTCAGCTGTTTTGTGGAGCAGTGGACTTTTTAATCTTTTATGACCCTTAGGGGAACTGTCATGGCATCTAAAGTCCTCAGGGGGGTCAAATTTTAGTCATCAGTGACATAGTGATCAGAGTTGGGGTCAGTCAAGGGTTGTGGAAGACCACTAGGCATATGCCCGGGACTTACTGTGTATGAGCTAAGTAACTTGGTCTCATTTTGCCATTGTGTTTAGACCTCAGCATCAGGGTCCTGGGTTAATGCATAACTAAGAAGGTGGATCTAGTCCCAGAAAGTATGATCCAAGTTGGGCCCTTTTTTTCTCCTCACCTATTTGCTTATTTACCCCAGGCCTCAGGCCTATCCCTGAAAGTGGACTTGAGGGTGGACAAGCCCCTCCCTTCTTTCTCTATCCTTTTTCTTAGTTATTTCCTGCCTTAGATCAGCAGAATTCAGCAGGGAAATCATCAGGTCCTGGAAGTTTCTTTGATGGAAGAATCTTATTACTGTACAAGTTTTCCATGTCTTCATGATCCTGTCTTGGTAGTCTGTATGTTTTTAGGATCATAGTAGTTTCATGATCTTTTGTATTATTCCTGTGGTTCCATTGCAACCATTTTCATTTCTGATTTTATTCATTTGAGTCTTCTCTTCTTTTTTTCTTAGTCCAGCTAAAGTTTGTTGATTTGGGTTGTCCTCTCAGAAAAACTCCGGAATTGGGGACACCAAAGAGACAGGAAGGTCAGTGAGAGAGGGTAATGAAGTGTGAATATGATCAAACTATTTTATCTGCATGTATGAAAACATCACATCAAAACCTATTATTTTGTGCAATTAATACACACCAATAAAAAGTAGAAAATGTTTCCAAAAATATTCAGATATGTTTGTAGGTGCACACGTGAAAATACAACAGGTTGATACAAAAACCAACGGCAGCTGCTGCTGAGGAGAGACCTGGTGTACACACTGAGAGGAAGCTTCCCTTTTAGTGTCAGATGCCTGACCCTGCTTTATGCTTTATCTTTCTCATCAACCTATATTTGCAATTTTAATAAAATAAATGTTTAAAAAACCTAGCTCTTCATTTTGTTTCTCCCTTTTACTGTTTTTCTAGTCTCTATTTCATTTATGTCTGCTGTAGTTTTTACTATTCTCTTCATTTTACCATCTTTAGGCTTAGTTTTCTCTTTTAAACTTCTTGAGGTATATTGTGAGGTTTATTTGAGATCTTCTTTCTCGATGTAGCTGTTTATTGCTTATGATCATTAACTATAATACATCATCTTAACTCTAGGAAGATTAGTAAAGCTTTCGGTGCAGACTCTTCAGCTTTCCAATGCCGACTCTCGGGCTTTTAACACACTCATACTGGTGATTCTGCAGTGAGCTTCCGGCCTGGGATGCTGGTCCAATATCCAGTACTGTGTGGTCTGTCTTGCCACTGTGCAGACAGCCATTTTGTATTCTTCTGCCTCTGATTCTGCAGACAGACATGTGGACTCTTCCCCTTGTGATCCTAATAAATCCCTTGTATAATTCTACATATGATTTATATTGATTTTGTTCTCCTGGTGAACCCTAACTAATATATTACTATAAATTTCTTTCTTAGAACTGCTTTTGTTTATATCCCATAAGTTTTGGTATATCATGGCTCAGTTTTCATCATCTCAGGATACTTTACATTTTCCTTCTAATTTATACATTGGTTCGTTCATTGGTTGTTAAATGTGTGTGCGTTTGTAGGAGGTGAGCCTGGCACAAGGTGTTTGGACTATGGCTGAAGGTCTCTTGAGTGTAGTACAGCAGTTCTCAGGGTGGGGATGGACTTACTGTGGGCATCCACATGTGCCTGCCTGCTTTATGACATGATTTGAAGCAGAGAAGATGCCAGTGATGTGCTCAGTCTCTAGGACCATGAGCCAAAATAAATCTCTCTTCTCTGTAAATCACTGTCTCGGGTACTCTCTTATAGCCACAGAAAGCAAAGACACCACTCCTGCCTCTTTTGGTTGTCATTTTCCTGGAATGCCTTTCCCTGTCTCCTCACTTACAGTCTATATGTGCTCTTAAGGCTAAGGTGGGTCTACTGTAAGCTGCATCACACTACATTTTTTTAAAAAATCCACTATCTACTCTGTATCTTTTGATTGGAAATTTTAAATATTTACATTTAAAACAATTATTCTCTTTTATTCCTGAAGAGCAGCTTTCCTGGATATACTATTCTTGGTTGACATTTTTAAAGGAAATTTAATTATTATTTGTTTAATTCCTTTTATTGTGGTAAAATACATATCTACCATTAGGAATGGTACATTCACAATGTTATGCAATCATCGCCACTAGTACCAGATCATTTCCATCACTCTAAGAGGAAACTCCGGCCTAGTTCCCAGTCCTCATTCCCCACTTCCCATTCCCCCTCCTTTGGCTCCTGGAACAAAAAAAACATGCCTTCTGTGGGTTTCCATCTCTGAATTTTCATGTCAGTGGGATCGTGCAGTCTGTGGCCTTTTGTGCCTAGCTGCTTTCCCTTAGCATAATGTTTTCAAGTGACCTTTATGTACCAGGACTCTTCCAATACTTTTAATCAGTTAGGAGTGAAAATATGCCTAGTCTGGAAGATTCTGCCACCACATGCTGGGGCAGTGATCAGCGACACAGCTGTTCAAGGCAGGGAATTCTTCAAGGTGCCGATAGATGCCTAGTGGAGAACTACCTGCTACAGGTCTGATTTAGCAGCCAGGATCTATGAATGACACAGATTTTTGAGTTTTCAGTAATTCATCTTACTCTCAATGACTGCTCATTTGGTTGACAAAATAGTTTTGACAAAAAAATGGTTGGTTAAAGATCAAAATGTTAATTCCTGGATATTTTTGTACTGTTTTCACCTAACAATTCTTTAAAAAATTACAGTGCTTTTTTTTTTTGTCATGTTGGAATAAATACATAGCATAAATGTAATACAGCATATTTATATATAAGGAAAGAGTTGGGTAGTGTTCTTCCAAGAGATCAGATCAAATAAACATGAGTGACAATGTACGTAATCACCACTTGGACAGCTACATTCTTCAGAGCTGTCTATATTTGCTGCCACACCTTAAGTTTCCATGACATGGTCAAATGTTGAAGGTACACATAATGGGATTGATATATTGCGCTCTTTGGGACAGGAAACCTTGGTTTTCAAAAGGCCGTATTGCCTTCTCTTGATTTTACTTTCTGGCACTTGAGAATGAATGTTTCTTATTCACTAGTTTCTAGAGATCTCGGATTTCCTTTTGACATTTAGTCTATTTGTGGAAACTCAAAAAGTAACTGCATTGAGAGGAAAAATGATCAAAGTTACCTGCTTGGAGATCAACCAGCACCTGACAGGATACTGAGGGTAATCTTTGACTGAATGCATTTAATGTGGGGAGTGAATATCCTATAAGGTGTGTGTCTGCCTGTATCTTTGGTTTGGTTTTGGGCACCTCTATTGGTGATAGAAGTGAGTCCTACTCGATGGTATTTCTCTCAGCCTGAAGGTGTGTGTGCATGCAGGATGCATTCTCACCACTTTCTCCATAGCACGGTCCTTCTCACCATGCACCCTGACTGTGAACTGCACCGAATATGCATGGGGGAAAGAGTTATGCACAGTGCTGAGCTGATTATCATTGCTGGCAAAAAAGATGTTGGAATGTCCAAAGGAGATGTTGTAGCTTTACTGCATTCCTTCTCCTCATTTCTCAGACCATTTAAACAAACTGGTTTAGTCATGTCAAGGACAAGTCTTCTCCTCACTAATGCATCTGTTGGACAATGCAAGGACAGGGTTCACTTCTAAAAGCATGGTTTCAAGTTGTCACCAGTCAAAATATACAACCAAAAGAGCTCAAAGCAAGTGGCAGTGAAGGACACTGATGGGGCCATGGTGAAGATGGTGAGGATAATCACAGGGAGGATTTGATGCCACAACAGCAGGGCATCCACATCCTGGTTGAGAAGGTAGAGAAAGAAGAACTGCCTGAGAGTCCACTTGTAGCCACGATCATCCCCCTCTTTGATCTGCACAAATCTCCAGATTTATAGATGCTGCTGTAGGTCACATGGGTATAACAGTCTTGCAGATTATTGAGGGTCAAACTTCTGTGGCAAACCATTAACCTTTCCTGATACATCTAGGTGGTCAAAAGCTTAAAGCCCCTACTAACAAATGAACAGTTGCAGATGTATTTCTGGACTCTATATATGTCACCAAAGATTAGATCTTTAATTATTATCTCCCTCTAGTGAGATAATTTGGCCAGTCTGCAAATTCGGTAACTGTGTTTAGTCTTTGGCATCTGCTTCTCCTGATATTCAGGCCTGAACTGACATGAGCATGGCAAACATCAGGGGGTGAGTTCCTAAAGGGCAGCACCATACCTTCTCCTCATGTGCTCTGGGTTTCTGGCCAGATGGTTCTTCCTGGCAAGCTTGGTGATACCCAGGGGGTGGTTCAGCCACTGCCGTGTCTTGGCAATCTGGAAGGAGGAGGTTCTCCAGTTCAGGTGCCAATTCTACACATTCTGCCCCTGGTCCCAGCTGCTCTCAAGCAGGATGCCCTACACCATGTCTGGCATGCCATCATCCACGCAGAACAAGAGGCCTTGTGAAGCCAGCCCTCTGCAAGCTCGTCTTCTGTCAAGAAATGGGTTGTTTTCTAATAATCGAAAGTGAAGAGTGTTCCTGTGGCAGAGATCTAGCAGAGCTTTCAGAAGAGAGATTGTGCTGTTTGTTCTGTGTGCCATACGACCCCAGGGATATCCACCTTTTGTCACCTAGGGGCCTCCCTGCCATGTCCACAGAGCAGACCCCTCCCTGTTTTCTCCCCATCTTCCCTCTGTCCATCTGCTTGCTATGTTCTGTTGGTGTTGTTTTATATTTTTCTTTTATATATTTTCCCCATTAAATTTATTGGTACATTTAAAGCAAACAGTACAGTTACATTTATCATCGGGATCTTGTATCATTGGTTCAGATTTTTCCCCCTGCCCTCCCTTCACCCCCTTCACCCTAGTGTCAAGTTTTAAGTGGTTGCAATTATACCATGAAAGCTTTGGAGGACCTACAGCCATTGTTCCACTGTCCACCATGAAGAATCCTACTGGCCTGGAAAGGCAGTCTAATTCGCAACAAAAAATGAAACATTTTTATAGTTTAATGAGTTCAAGTATGTTAAAGAAGCTTTAAACTGTGATATTCTATGAGGCCAAACACCCAGGTGGCTGCCTGAGGGCTGGGTCCCCTGGAGGTGCAGAGGGCAGAGGTGTGGACCATTCTAGTAGGTGGTTAGTTGGGATAAAATTGTTGAGAAGGAAACATGGAGCTTTAACAAACCTATTCAGCAGAAACAATGATAATGTGAATATTATGTCTCATATTTTAAAAGATAAGTGGAAAATGCAGGTTTAAAATATTCTTCTGAATATCAAAGAAGAGGAACAAGCTAGTTCTTTTTTTTTGAGACAATTATAACTGATGATAATGTATGATGTTGCATTATGAACTGGAGAAGAAAGCAAAAGTGTCAAAGCCTCTTAGGGAGAATGAAGACATTCCCAAGTCCAAAGACAATATGCTCATCAAAAATTCCAAGTTAAGGAAATTTTGATGTGCTTCTTTGTCAATGTTAGCATCATTCATGCATAATTTATCACATAATGACATACATAACTTGCTGGATGGAAATGGTGTAGTGTTTTAGAGTCTGATTGATGCAAAAGGGGTGAATTTTGACAGATGTTGCATTTTCAGTGAGGCGAGTTTTGAGGAGAGAGGGGAGGAGAGGGACAGAAGTCAAGGAGGGAGGGAAGGAGTAACAGAGGGAGGATGGAGGGAGGGAGGAGAGAAAGAGGGACAGAAGCATTCAGAGAGGGAGGGAAGAAGAAATGGAGTGAAGGAAAGAAGAAAGCAGGGAGACCTGGCTTTCGACTACTTTTTTCTCCTTTTTTTAAATTGAGAGGAGTCGTTAGTGGGGGGGTGGAGACAACTTGTTTCCAAATAATCTTATTTTTTTAATTAATTAATTTTATTGGTACATTTAAGGTATACAATGTAGTGGCATTCATCATTGGAAATTTGCACCTTTACATAATCCATCTTGGTTCTTATTCTTTCCCCATTCCCCTGCCCTCCCTTCAACCCTAACCCCTCCCTATCTACAAAGGCTTTGTTTCAATTTTTTCTTTTTCTCATGTTAATTCCATTCCCATCTTTCTTTCCCCTATCCCTCCCATTTGCCCTTCTGCTTTGCATCTTTTCTTCCTATTTCAAGTTATGTATTATACCTTTTAGTCCTTATGTATACTTTCCGTTTCTCACACTAGAGAAACTACTTGGTATTTACACATTTATCCTGTTTATTTCATGTTTTCACTCAGTGTGCATCCATTTAGCTATAAATGTCTCTAGTTTCTCATTCTTTATGGCTGAGTAGTACTCCATTTTACTTTTTTTTTAAATCACATTTTCTTTATCCAGTCTCCTGTTGATGGGCAACTGGGCTGCTTCCAAGTTTTAGCTATCATGAATTGTGCTGCTATGAACATGGGTGCATATATATCATTGTGGTATGATTCTTTTACTTCTTTGTGAGAGATACCCAGCAGGGGGATAACTGAGTCAAATGGGACCTCCAATCCTAGTTCTTTAAGGTATCTCCATATCAGACCTGTATCTCTCACCAAGCATGAAACTAAAATTGAAATGGATTAAAGAACTAAATATTAAAAGAGAAACAGGGCCGGGGATTGAGCACAGTGGTTCTGCCACCTGCTTCATAAGCACAAGGTCCTGAGTTCAATCCCCAGTACCTAAACAAAACAAAACAAAACAAAACAAAAAAACCAAAAAACCAGAAGCACTAAACCAGCTGGAAAAGAGGTTAGGTAAAACTCTTGAAGACACTGGTGTAGGAAAAGATTTTATGAACAAAACCTCAGTTGCCCATGAACTAGCACAAACAATCAACAAGTAGGTTCTCTTCTTATTAAAAAGCTTCTGCACAGCCAAAGAAACAACCAATAGTGTGAAGAGACAATCCACAATGTGGAAAAACTTTTCACCAGATCTTCCTCAGACAAAAGTCTACTATCTAGAATATATAAAGAACTAAAAAAAATCAGACCTCCCAAATTTAAAGACCCAATCCAAAAATGGGCATCTGAAATGAACAGACACTTCTCAGACAAAGAAGCAGAAATAGCAAATAATCATATGAAAAAATGTTCAACAGCACTGGTCATTCTAGAGATGCAGATGAAAAGAAGACTGGGATTCCACCTCCCCCCAGAAAGAATGGCTGTTAACATGGTATCAGCCAATAACAAATGCTGGCAGGGCTGTGGGGAAAGAGGGACGCTGCTGCACTGCTGGTGGGAGTATAGACTGGTGCACCCACTGTGGAAACCTTCGTAAAACTAAAGACCCACTGCTATGGATGGTTTTCTACTAACAGGTTGAGGTTAACAGGAGAGTGGTAGTTCCAAAAGATCTGTAAACAAAACAGTGTTGACAAAAGGAGTTACCCATCATTGATAAGACAAGAAACACTCAAAATTGTAAATCTAGTATAATTATTAAAAACTTCAATCTCAGTTTACGGTGATATTTTCAAATTGCATTCAGTGGCATTACCAAGATTTCAAGTAGTGTGTGTACGTGTATGCATTTGCGTGTGTGTCTTGTGTTTGTATGGTATGTGATGTGTGTATATGTAAAGTGCATGTATGTCATGTGGTGTTCATAGTGTGTGTGGTATATGTTGCGTGTTTGTGGTTTGTGTATGGGGGAGGTCAGAGGTAAGTAATTTGAAATCTGGGTTAAAGTTACAAAGGCTTTTCTTGGGATGGGATGCAGCTAGTGCTGGAGCACTTGGGTGGTCTGTGCAAAGGCCCTTGGCTCCATCATCAGCACCCCTCCATGCTTTTCTTTCTGCCTATGAGAAAGAGACTACATTTCCCAGACTCATTTGATCATAAGTACTCTAGTTCCTCACTTACCACTGCACACACCACGGTGGGACATAGTAAGTCAAGCAAACTAAACTAAATATTGAGTAATATTTGACATCTCTACCCTCTCCCCAACCTTGAAAAAAAACATGTTAGAGGCTCAAATAGAGTAGCGCATGGCAGCATGAGCCATGTCCCTCTGTAGGATGGGCTCCTGGTAAAGGCGCATCGCTTGAGCCTGTGCAGGTCTGAGAACCCAGGAACTTCCACAAGACCAAGGAAACCAGCTAGTGCTCCTGGTGAGAAGCGATACATACCTTACGAGGAGACCTCATGCATCACAAGAGCTGCTGACACAATATGATGCTGGCCTCCAACCGCATTTGAATTAAGTGTCCATTTCGCCATTAAAATGTCATTGGGAAACTACTCGCCTGATGAGGATTTTTCTTTCCAGAGACATTTGTGTAGCAACTTCAAGCTTCCTTCCTCGTGCCTCTTTTCACTGTGGAGACGTTGAGCATAGCAGAAGTTCCTTTGATTAAGTACACGAGGCGGAGGCAGAATGTGCATTGATTAGAAGTTCTGAGGTCTGGACACTGGGCAGAGATCAAGGACTTTGTCCTTTGGCTGTGAAGAGGACCATGAGTAGGGGCCGAAGCTATACAGGGATACTTTTATAATAACAGGTTTCCTTCCCTGACCTGAGACGAGGGGAGGAAGCCACCATTCCTGGGAGTGAAGATGGTGACTGATGATGCTGCTTATTACTTATAGCAGTGAATGTTTAATTGTATATTTATTTATATAATTAATTTATATTCTAAATGATATATTAATTGATACTTAGAAATGATTATGTAGTAATACCTTGTGTGTTATACTACATGATAAATATATAATATAATAAAGGATGGGGTAGTAGTAATATTATATAGTAACAGTACAGATATCAGTATTTCTTGGGCATTATTATTCATGATGTACAATGGATGGCTTTGTCTTCCCCTTTCAGTGCAGTGACTGTGCCTCTGGAGCAATGCCTCTATCTGTTACAAATGGGTTGCTGGAGGCCAGCAGGCAGGCAGTCTGCAGGGCTTGTGTCCCCTGAGCAGGTGTTGAGCCCCAGTAGGATTCTGGATGGGGCAGTGAGGCCAGGAAGGGAGCAGGGGCCCTGGATGCACAGTTGTGTGGCTAGCTCATCTCCAAGAGGCCCCTCTCATAGCCACCACACTGTACCGTGTGAATTACATCTGCTATTTTAGACTCTGCCAGCTCCTGTTCTCTCTGAGGCCTGGAACAAAGTAGTAGAGGTTTTGAAAAACATCTGCTGCTTTTCTGAGTACCCCTTGTCCTTTTCCCTCTCTCCTTACAGTTTCACTGAATCTCAGTAGTTAGAGCATGAGACGAAAAGCAGGCCATAGACTAGATCCTCCGAGTGGGCTATACCCTTTCCTGGACTTGGTGTCCCAGCTGGGCAGGTGGGGTGCACCTAGGGCTACCACGTATCTGAAGCATAATCCTGAGCATAGGGTCTGAGACTAGGTCCCCTGGCTCCCCAGGGAAGGCACTGTCACTCAGAGGACACTCTGGAAACCACGAGGCCTCATGAAAACTGCCCTAGAGAGCTGCGTTTCCTTGTTTTCCTTTTGACTGATAATGCCCTCCCCTTGGCCTGTACTCACTTGTTAGATGTGAGAAGTGACTGAGAGTGGAGTTAGCTCTTTATCACAGCTGTCTATGTGCACAAACACTGGGTTCTACTTGGTAGGGGCTGGTCCCCAGCCATGAGAGTGACTCCGAATTACTGGGGTTGCATTGGTGTGAGAGGGATCATCACCTAGCAGTGTCCCATGAGAGTTCAAGGTGGCCCGGGGGGTGAGGTGGGGGGTTATTTCTTTCAGTGGAGAAGAATCATGTGCCTTTCATAATGATGAAGACGACATGCTGTTTTGTGTGTGGTGTTGGGGATGGAACCCAGCACTTTGCGCATATGAAGTAAGCGCCATGCCACTGAGCTACATCCCCAGCCTCAGGCTTTTTGTGCCCTTACATTTACTATACAACCTTTTCCAGTTCAAACAGCTCTGCCCAAGAAATTACTCATCCGTGCTGACTGGCGC